TGGTTAGTATATAAGTTCCTAGAGCTTCTTTGTTACCATGTATCAATTTGCACATACTTGTTACAATCAGTGTTTTCTCTTTACAAAGACATTTACCTGAAGCTAATGACAACTTGTGACCTGGTGCAAAATTATGACTGAGTTTTCTTGGTTACACATGTACATTTTTATTCTTTAGCTTTATTTGAAGGTAGACGCATCGAATTTGCAGAACAAATAAATAAAATGGAGGCTAGGCCTAGAAGACAAGCAATGAAGGAAAAAGAGCATCAGGTGGTACGTCATGAAGAACAGAAGGCGGAGCAGGAAGAGGGTAAGGTGGCTCAGCGAGAGGAAGAGTTGGAGGAGACAGGTAATCAGCACAATGATGTAGAAATAGAGGAAGCAGGAGAGGAAGAGGAAAAGGAAGTAGGACTAGTTCATAGTGATGCAGAGAAAGAGCAGGAAGAGGAGGAACAGAAACAGGAGATGGAGGTTAAGGTGGAGGAGGAAACTGAGGTAAGAGAGAGTGAGAAGCAGCAGGATATTCAGGCTGAAGAAGTGATGGATGTGCTAGAGATGGTAGAGAATGTCAAAAATGTAATTGCTGAGCAGGAGGTAATGGAAACTAATCAAACTGAAAGTATGGAGCCTTCAGAAAATGAAACTAGCAAAGAATTGGAGCCAGAGGTGGAGTTTGAAGTTGAGCCAGATAAAGAATGTAAATCTCTTTCTCCTGGAAAAGAGAACATTAGTGCTGTAGAAATGGAAAAGGAGTCTGAAGAAAAAGAAGGAAAAGAATCTGAGCCTCAACTTGAGCCTGTGGCTCAGCCTCAGCCCCTCCCTCAACCTCAGTCTCTGCCCCTCCCTCAGCCCCAGTCTCAGCCCCAGCCCCAACCCCAGCCCCAACCCCAGCCTCAGTCCCAGCCCCAGCTCCAGCCCCAGCCCCAGCCCCAGCCCCAGCCTCAAACCCAACCCCAGCTCCAACCCCAGCTCTAACCTCAACTCCAGCCCCAGCCTCAACTCCAGTCCCAGCCTCAACTGTAACTTCAACTCCAGCGTTAGCCCCAACCCTGGCCTCAGGAAGCAGGTCAAAGCCTGTGTCTTGGGAGCCCAATGTGGGTCTCTCCAAGAGCTACCAGGAAGGGCAGATTTTAACAAGCTGGGGAAACCTTATTGCCATGGTTCTTAGAAGCCACCCCTTGCCCAGGCAAGAGAGGCCCCAAGCAAGTGCTCTAAGGGCAGCTCCAGTAAACCATTCGGATCCCAGCACTTCCACATACTGTAAGGATAGAAGCTCTGGTTCCCACTTGGAAGGGGCTGTTCCCAGCCTCCAGGACAGGCACAGCTCTTCTTTGGGGACAATCACACAGGCAGGCACAGGAGGGCTGGCTGAGGCCGGATGTCAGCCACAGCCAGTGAGCTTCAAGATCAATGGGGCTCCCACCCCTGGCCCACCTCCAGGCCCAGGAGGCAATGGAAGCAAAGTGGACTCATGGCCCGCAGCCGCACTGCTAGGGGCCCTCTCACAGCCTGCTGTGCAGGTACAGCCTGGCTGCATGCCACATCCCACTGTGAAGCAGGACTCCCAGTCTATCCCCAGGCCCAGGAAACGCAGCATGTGTGAGATAGCACAGAGCTCAGAGGTGGTCAGCCAGACAGCCTCTGGGCAGCAGCAGGGGCAGGGGCCAGGGGATGGAGCAGGTTGGGCAGGCAGCAGAGCAATCCTCACAGAGAAGCAGAAAGAAGCTCAGAAACTTATGGGTTTTCTGCAGAGGCCTGGGAGCTGGGGGGTGGTGGAGGGGCCCCGGAATCCCCGCTCTCAAGCCTTGGAGTCTACCACAGCCACGGCTCTATGGCCCCAGCGGTTAGATCTGGACAATTGCCTGGAGGTGCTGGCCTTTGCCCAGCAGCATGGGGAGCCTGACCTGGCCCAGGAGACCTACGCCTTGATGAGCAGCAACCTGCTGCGTGTGCTGGGTGACCCGCATCTCTACCGCCAGCTAAGCGGGGCTGAGCGGGAGCGTATCCTGGGCCTGCGGACTGGCCAGGGCCAGGCGGTGGTGGGGGCCCTTGTGCTGCCTAGCCTCTACCAGGTGGGCCGCTCAGGGCTTGTGAGGGGTTCTCATGTAGAGGAGGCCCCTGAGACCCAGGTGGCGCCCACGCCTGCTCGCACACACCTGCATGTGTTCGATCCCCGAGAGAATATGTGGCGGCCCCTGACCCAGGTGCCTGAGGAGGCCCCACTCCGGGGCTGTGGCCTCTGCACCATGTACAACTACCTGTTCCTGGCAGGCGGCATCCGTGGCTCTGGTGTGAAGGCCGTCTGCTCCAACAAGGTTTTCTGCTACAACCCTCTGACCAACATTTGGAGCCAGGTTCGGCCCATGCAGCAGGCCCGAGCCCAGCTCAAGCTGGTGGCCGTGGATGGGCTGCTTTATGCTATCGGAGGTGAATGCCTGTACAGCATGGAGTGCTACGACCCACGCACAGATGCCTGGACCTCACGGGCGCCCCTTCCTGCGGGCACGTTCCCTGTGGCCCATGAGGCTGTGGCCTGCCGTGGGGACATATATGTCACAGGAGGGCACCTCTTCTACCGCCTGCTCAGATACAGCCCTGTAAAGGACTCATGGGATGAGTGCCCCTACAGTGCCAGCCACCGGCGCTCCAGTGACATGGTGGCCCTGGGGGGTTTCCTGTACCGCTTTGACCTGCTGAGGGGTGTGGGTGCGGCAGTGATGCGCTACAACACAGTGACAGGCTCCTGGAGCCGTGCTGCCTCACTGCCACTGCCTGACCCTGCCCCGCTGCGCTGCGCTGTGCTGGGCAACACCATCTACTGCCTCAACCACCAGGTCACAGCCACCTTCACGGTCTCTGAGGGGACTGCTCAGTTCCAGGCCAAAGAACTGCAGCCCTTTCCTCTGGGGAGTAAGGGGGTCCTGTGTCCGTTCATCCTGACTCTGCCCTCCAAGGCCTGGTTGCAGACCTCACTCTGAGTGCTAGCAGAGCCAAGGAGACCATCTGAGTGGGTGTGCGGGGATGCAGGGCATGGGGAGTAAGCTGGGTCAGAAATTCCAGTGCCACCTTTCCCTCTCTGCCTAAAAGTTCTCACCTGTTTCTGGAGTGAGATCTCTTGTGCTCCCCCATCCCAACCCAAGCTCCATATTGCCTCCTTGTCTGCCCACACCCTAGTTCCCTGCCTGGTCCTTATCTGGTTTGCCTGCCTCAGCTTGTTCAAAGTCACCCCTCTGTCTGTGGGACTCCTTGGTCCTCCCACAGCCAGGGAAGGCAATGGCTAGAAACATATTTGTGCTCTTACATTCTGTTAAGGTGGGAGAGAAAGCAAAGGGATCCCCAGAAAACATCTCACCTTTTGCCATCCTGAGGCTTTTTGGGAGCCAGGCTTGGCCCTTCCCCTATGGGTCTGAGTGGTACTTGGAACCCTTGCCTGTGAAGCTGGGTTGGATTTGTGCTCTACTCTCTGCAGCCCCTGTCCGTGCATGACTTCTGTCCAGGCAGAACCAGTACCACTTGGCTCCTTGACACCTCTGGGGTCTCTCAGGCCTTCTAGACTCCCACCCCACTTCCCACCAACCTCCCCTTAAATGAGCCCCAAGTTGTACCCTAGTTCTATCCTTTAACAGCTCTGTGGAATTGGATAAGACATTTACCCTCATTTTCCTTGTGGATATTGGACACTTGTCATTCAGGAGAGTTGTAAGAACATGATCACCAATGTCCAAGGCACACAACATGAGAAATTATGTGTGTTTTCCCCTTGCCTACTTCAAAACCCACTTCAGGCAGATAAATAAATCTGATTTACTACTACTGCCTGTCCCAGCCCCTTGCCTGATTAATCCCTGTCTGGCCTGTTTTTTGCTTTTTATTCTATGCTTCGTATCACTGGTGCCAAATACATGTTCACCCCAAGAAGCATCTGCATCTTATACTCATCATGCTTCACTAACAAGGCTCAGTAAGCACCTGAGTAGGTCATGGTGCAGGACAGAAAGGGATCATGGGGTTGTGCTTCAAAATAAGTTTATTGAGAAACAAGACTGTGCATACAGCTGTACATCCAGGTAACTGACTTGGTCCTGAGCAGTACACGGACAGGTGGTGGATGGTGGCTGTAGCTGGGCAGTGGGGCTTACTGCTTGTGCTTGGTCTCACTCAGCAGCTCTTGCCAGTTCTTCTCCATCTCCTCCTTGCAGTTGAGGAAGGCATCCTCCAGCCGGCGCATGAACTCTGCCAGCACAGGGTCAGTGCGCATGACGACCATGTCATACGCCATCCAGGTTACCTGCACTGCAACAGACAGGCCCAGTGAAACCACAGGTGGCACTACAGATCTGGGCACCTTTACTTGTGCTCAGCTTCCAGGTGTCAGACCCCAACAGGACACCAGACTATTCCAAGGAGAGAAAGTAGTTGGCTACATGTTATAGGGCTCATAAAACTCCTATAAACACTTGTCCCTACAAACAGCAGTGTGATACTTCTTGGTGTTCCGCAAGCCTTAACTTCTGCATTCATCAGCCCAAGCCAGTAAATTTGGAGGACTTTGATATGAAATGTGAGAGAAATGAAAGCAACCACAGGCCCTCTATAGGTAGTTCACAATTAGTGGCTGCAGGGTGACCCCAAAGCATCATAACATCCACCCAAGCTTACACACTTAGTAGGGCTGGGCATTCCAGGCCTGTGAGACTCCAAGCCTCACATTTCCTCATGGTCAGTGACCTCGGATGCACCTGCAGCTGGGCACTCTGCTTTCAGGCTCAAGGGAGTGGATCCTCTTTGTTTTAGGGTCCTTGAGCATTCACGCAGCACTGATGGGCTTTCCTGCTCTTTTGCTGAGAGTAAACTTGAAAGCAAGTCTCCTTGTGTTTCTAGATGAACACATGTGTTGTGAGCAGAATCAGTGGAAGGGTGCTCTGAAGCCCCCACCACTGCTGTGGCTCTGCCCTTTGAACTATCAAGAACAAAGATCATGCTCTTCTTTGTGACGGCCAGGCACAGTGTATATATTCCCTTAGAATTCTTCTTTGTTGGCCTAAAAAATACGGGATAGTTGGGGAAGCTATGTCTTTGAGGCAATTAGCCAAAGAAGACACAGAAGAATGATTAAGAATATAGAGCACATATGTATGGGTGCACAACCAAGGCCAACTGAGTAGCAGACTTAGAAATTTTTTTACACAGATCAACAGCTGCTCAGTGAGGTACAAATTGCTAGAAAAGGTTGTGTAGTGTTTGAGCAAGGTATTCAGGTATTCCTGAACTTTTGGAAGCATGAATGGTACCTGGGACACTTATCATAATGTAGACTGCTGCCCCTCCCCAGACCTATAGTGGTTTTTGTCTCGCGTATTGGAGATGGTGGCTGGGAACCCATATCCTAACAACACCCTGGATCAGTCTGGTGTAGGGAGTCTGCAGATCAACTTTTGTTTTGCTTTGTTTTGTTTTGTTTTGTGACTAGTCTCACTAGATAGTTCAGGCAGGCCTTAAACTCAGTATGTAGCCCAGGTTGGCCCCAAACTTGTGGCAATCCTGCCTCAGCCTCTTGAGTGCTAGGATTATAAGTGTGTGCCACCGTGACTGGCAAGACCACACTTTTAGACTCCTGGACAGGGCTGGGGATATAGCTCAGTGGCACAAGTGCCTGCCTGGCAAGCGCAAGGTCCTGAGTTTGATTCCTGGTACCAAAAACAGAAACAAAAAACAAAAAAAAAAATGTAGACTCCTGGACAGTAGGGGACATACAGACCCGGGAACAGGAGTAGATTTGCTTCACAGCTCTCCACTAGCTAGCTACAAAACCTTGAACAAAGACTTAAACTTGCTGACCTTAGTCTCCTCATCTGCAAAGTAGAGACTGCTTATTGCTATGAAGAGATAGGTGACACATGTGACATGCCTAACACACAGGTTGTTGACTGAAAGCTTATGTCCAACCCTTTCCTCCATTCATATTCTGCAATTTCACCCTCAAGGTGAAGGTCTGAGGAGGTGAGCCCCTGGGAGGGGAGCAGTCACGAAGGTGCTCCACCTTGCTGATGGTATTGGTGTCCTTATAAAAGAGACATGAGAGTTTACTTTGGCCACGTGAGGATACAATGAGAAGGTGGGTCTCTATAAATTAGGAAGCGACTTCTCACCAGACACCAGATCTACTGGCATCTTGATCTTACTTCCCAGCCTCCGGAACTGTGAACAAAATGTTTTTTAAGCCACTTTGTCCATGGTAATTTGTTTTAGCGCCCCAAATGATAAAGATAAATTAATACCAAGAAGCGGTGTTGTGGTAACAGACACTTGAAAATGTGAAAGAGGCTTTGGAATTGGGTATGGACTGCAAGAGTTTTGTTTTAGTTTTTTTGGGGTTTTTTTTTGCAAGAGTTTTGAAGGCCATGCTAGAAGTTGATACAGTATTGCCATGAATTGCCTTTAAAGGTAATTCTGGTAAGAACTCAGAAAAAAGGAATTTAAACAGAAAATTCTTTTTCTTAGAAAATATATAAGTAATCATGAATAGAACATTTGTGGAAATGCAGGTGGTAAAGGCATTCTGATGAGGTCTCAAAAGGAAATGAGTAGTTAGCAGAAGCTGGAGGAAAGGTGACCTTTATCATAAAGGGGCAAAGAACTCACCTGAATTGTATTCATGATTTAGTGGTTTGTGGAAGGTAGAACTAGTGAGCAATGAAATAGGATATTTAGCTTTTTTTGCTAAAAAAGAAAGCAACTTTTGCTATAAAATAATTAAAGGCAAAGAGTCAGGGAAAAATCAGGGGGAAATGCAGCTTACAGAAATAATACTCATACAGTCCTCCATAGAGGACTATTTAGCTTTTTTTGCTAAAAAATATATTTAGCTTTTTTTGCTAAAAATATATTTAGCTTTTTTTGCTAAAAAAGAAAGCAACTTTTGCTATAAAATAATGAAGGGCAAAGAGTCAGGGAAAAATCAGGGGGAAATGCAGCTTACATAAATAATACTCATACAGTCCTCCATAGACGTTTCCTAGGCCAAAGCAGGGAAGGAAGCATACACACAATTAAAAGATTCAGTGTTCATAAAAGAGAAGAAAACCCATTGTTTAAAACACTTGTATCCTTTGGGAAAAATTTTCAATGGGTGTTTATGAAAGGAATGGATGGTAGTTGAAAATGACTGTGACAATGTCTCTATTTAGAGATGGGCTCTTGCTATGTTACCTAGGCTGGCCTCAGACTCCTGGGCTCAAGTGATCCTCCTGTCTCAGCCTTCCAAGTAGCTGGGACTATGCATATATACTACTCTCTCAGATTGATTACCCTATTATAAATGCAAAATGGTCCTGCAGATCTGAGGTTAGGATGACTGGTAAAAAAAAAAGCTGGGAGCATGGCATACACACATAGTTCAGAAAGCCAGTTTGACAAGATACAAAAACACTATATCAAGTGCATAAAAAGTTTAGAATAAATAGAGTAGGAAGGTCTCAATATAATCAGAAAATCCTCTAGAAATATATGTACCTCGTGTTTCTCATTCATTCATGAAATATTCACTGAACACCACTTTGTGCGGGCACTTGCTAGGGCAGTCTGGGGAAGACAGCCTGTAGTGTCCAGTGTCCACATTCACTGCGGAGGGTGGAGACAAATGATCAACATACAAGTGAGCGACAGACCATGAAAGGTGCTGGGAAGGAACTAAGCAGAATATGTTGTGACAGAGAAACATGGGAAAAGTCTTATTTTTTGCATATAAATATAGAATAAAATATATGTATGTTTCTGTACTTTGTTGCTACTGTATTTTGTTGCTCAGCTATTACTATGCCAAGATAACACCACTTTACTTATTTAGCTTTATAGCTAACTATTACCTTCATAATATATAGCTATATATGTAGCATTATATAGTTGCATAGCTTTTTAATAAATCTCATTAAATGTAGGGCAAATCTCCTTGTCTGTTTTTACTGAAGTATCTTAGCTA